AAAAAAAAAAAAAAAAAAAAAAAAAAAAAACGAATTTATTAAAAGTGCTATTACAACAAAAATAAGTAGTAATGATAAAAATTTCGAAGTGTACTGCAAGAAATTCATTCCTCTTAAATAAAAACATTTTTTAATGAACTGCATTAAAGATTCTAAGCGACCATTGCATAATCTTAACAAACCTAATATCCCCGTGTGAGAAGGGTTCTTTATTTGCTTCTGCTGCTGCCCCCTGTTTGAACCATTTACCTGTCTTGGCTATAATTTTCTGCCTTTTCTGACACAGTGAACAAGCCCAAATTGGCTGCAAAAGTTACTTGGCTATTAGTAATTACTACCACTAATTTTCCCTCACTTAAAAAATAACCCAGTCTGCAAACTTTATGTAAGAAAATTAAAAATGAAAATAACTGTTTGCAAACTTTATTTTTGCTGGTTGTCCTCCCACCACAACGAGCACATGACCGAAGCTGACAGTAGAAACACTTATGACCAACACCATCAGCAAACTTAGTCTTCTGACAAATCTGACAAATAGCATCGTCTTGCGTTCCAAGAAGTCGTTGCGCATTCTGCTTCCGTTCGTTAATTTGCTTCTCAATTTCCTCCAGCTCGCGATCAGCCTTTCTCAAAAATTATTGCGCACTCTCAGAAAGTGATTAATGCAAAAATTAAAAGCTTAGAAGAAACTACTTCTTCCCACAGAAATCCATTACATTATCATAAAATCTCCTTTGGCACAACAATATATTTTTTCAAATTAATGAACAGTTGCAGTAGATTACTGCCACCATACAAAACTCAGGCATGATTTCCCATTCTCATCCCGCAGAGTACCTATTTAACATCTTCAGCACAACTAGAATAAACAGAAAAAAATTTTCACGTGATACTTTTAGAATTCCATCAAATTTGATGTTTTATCAAATTCTTTGAAACAGGCACTTTCTTAATTACTCACCGGCTTAGCTGGATTTCCTTCTCCTCCTCTGCTCGTTGTCGCTGAAACACTTCTTCAATAATCTTTTTTTCTTCAGCGCTCAAATGAGACAAATCGGGCATCTGTGGCTCCGCCATTACTGAGCCGTCTTTGGCCCTTCAAGGCCTAAAATGTGCGTACTGTATGAATGCAAATGAACAAGTATAAATATATACATATATATATGAACGCAGTTTCTAAAATCAAAAAGTTTACCAATCAAATCTTGCAATAAAAACAAAAAAGTTGTAAGATTTTATTCAAAATATTGAAAATGCATCATAGAGGCAACATGCACAACTCTCTACTGAAAACACAGTGGAAAACAAAGTAGACTTATAGGTCATTGATAGTAAAACGCATAACAAAAGCCCATCATTACGGACTTTAAATATAAAAGCATAAAAATGAAAAGCCTGAAGAGAAGCAAAATGTCGTAGCTTTGTGGCGGACCGTTCTGAAGCTAATACAGTAGCAGCAATAGTCCGTTGTCTATTCAGAAACTAGTATCACAAAAATGCGGCTAAATTCCTTTGGAACCTCAGAAGATAAGCAATGCGACATGTGATAGGTTAATAAAACTTTTCAACCCCCCATACTACACAACATGTTATATGAAGTATATTATATATTATAAATTTTACACATCATGTTCAACACATTGAGTGCTGTACACTGTACATAAAATTTCATACAATTTTATATTGTACATTGTATATTACACACTGTAGTAGATTGTGCATTATGTACTGTACATTATACAAATTGATACTTTGATATGTACTTTATAATATATAACAGATACTGCACATTGCATGCTATGAGTCACATACACGGGTCTTTGAAGATCCGCAGTGCCTATTAAAGAGAAACTGGTAAGCGAAATTGAAAGGTAGAGGACACAGCAATTTACAGCAGCGTACAGTAGTTTTTAAGGATGTCTATAAAATGTTTTAATGTTATCTTTGTTCTGTGATTAGGCCGAGTAAGGCGGCAAATTTTCAAACGTGAAGATTCATTTTCCATTTTTGTTTTCATATTCTGATCCTTTGTCTTGAGTATCTCCATCGCTCATTTGAGTTAGAAAATGTCTCCATCGTTACCCTTCTAGGCTTTCCACTAATTCTGTTGGTAAAACAAAAATTAGTCTTCGAACCTACAGTATCTTCATGCGTGATCGTACTACAGCAGCTAATGTCATATTAAAATAAATTTGCCCATATAATTCATATA